GAGTTTGATCACATGATCCAGCTGCCTACAGAGTTCCGGTTTTCTTCTGTATATTGCAGCAGCCTTCGCAAAGCGTAGGTGACGTGGTCCAAAGTACGACCGTATGGCTAGTGTCCACTAGGGGCTTCGTAATTGAACTCTAGGGTACTTTATTTTCCGCCCAGAGCAATCGCTTCGGCATATTTTCAACTGACCGCATTGCCAACTGCCTTTGCGTGCGCCTGATGTATTTGCATCCGCAGCTGCATGAAAACTCATAAACGCAGTTTGATGTTGCGGGCATAGGTAGTGTCTTTAGTTGGGCTAACTGGAATAGTCGCTGTTGTGCTTATGTACAATAATTTAGAGAGAATGTACGTTCTTTCAATCGTGCATCGACGCCTGCGCTTCACGACGTGGGACACATTATCACCCTTGACAGGGAAGAAGATGCTCACTGAGTTTTTTGGCATTGACAATTCGGGAGGAGTTTCTTGTCTGTGCTGGTGATATTTATCGATGAATTTCTCCGGATAGCCGTTTCCAAGAGACACCTTTTTGAGAAAACTGATCCCTTCATCGATGGTATCCAAAGGACACATTTTAATGGCTCTATTGAAAAGGCACAAAACTAGGTTTAGTTTCCTCTGAATTGAAAATAAATTCAGAAAGTGCATGTATTGTCCTTATCATGTGGTTTTCCGATAAATGGACTTTTCAACAAATTCTGCTAGTCTTGTGATCTTTGCCTTGTTCAAATAAGATAGGATTTGCTTGGGTGTGTGCCGTGCACACGCATGGCATCTGAACAAGTGTTCATTCAAGCTTCAGTCACAGGCAGTAAATAGGTTTAGTAGTTGGTTCACTTGTGGGAGTGGACTATGGGCAAACGAAACACTCCCAGCCCGAAACCTTCACCGCAGGAAGAACTCCAGCCATTTGCTTTCGGAGCTTGAGCCGGAAGCTCAGGCCTTGACAAGTTGCGGCCGTCCATCTTCTGCGCTGAGGAATACCGCTTCGAAACTCCAGGAGAACTGTCACGCAAGGAGCTCTAGGCCGGCCTCTCCTATTATGCAGCTTACTAAACAGAGATGGACAAACGTACAGGAAAGATGATCAAGTAACCCCATTAGTTAACCTTTACACCTAGCGGCCAATCTTAGACTCGTCAAATCCAGTGAAAAAAAATCAAAACGATGATAGAAACGTTCCAGCTGCCAGGTGAACAGCTAGGCTGTGAACCACGGGTGCACACGAAGCACCCCTTTCAGCCAAACTGCTCACTCATCACGATCCTTATTTTCCCCTTCTCCCTCCATTTGCTGGGTATGTCCCCTTATGAAGAAATATCCATATCTAACCTGCTGTCATGCGGCATTCTTGTGTCTTACCAACAGGTGCGTAACCTCCACTGGCTCGCGGAAGGAGATCACTGTTACTGTAAATGAACCCTGTTCCCCTGGGTATTCACAGTGCCGAGATGGGACCTGCATACCCCAGTCGGCGTTCTGCGATCAGCGGGTGGACTGTCGTGACGGTTCAGACGAGAAGGCAGAATTCTGTCGAGGTACGTATCCATATTCTTCGATTTCTTTTCTGTCGTCCACTTTTTATCATGTTGTCTCCTTTCAACATGTTCTGTCACATATTTATTGAATCTTTTGTCAAATGCTTCCTGTTATAAGGGGTTTCTTGAAAAATTATTTATCCGGGTTTTACCGATTTTCAAAGAAGGGCGGGTATAGTGTGATTTCTGCCTTCATTTGTTATGCATACTTCAGCATACCCTTCAGAGGTTGTTGCACAAGTAAAATGCAGCAACGGCGATCCCTATCATTGAACGCAAAGTGGGGGCGAGTTGAACAGTACATTCTGACGAACGGCCAGCTTATCGATGACTTGAGCAGGCTGAATACTATTACAAAACTGTCAATTGTCAGGAAACATAGGCTGCTCTGATTGAAGGTGCACACACTCGGCAGCTTGAGAGGACTTGGCTAGACAGGAAGAGTCAGCTTTTGAAGAAGGAATGTGGATTTCCACCGCATTCACTTCCGGGGCACTTGGATGAACACTGTTGGTGTGTTCGGAGGGGAGATGGAGACCACTTCGTACCCATCCTACGCGTTATAAAAACAATATTTGTCGCTTACTTGTTGCTATTTACTTCGGATTTGATTTTTGCAATACAGGTGACATATACTAAGTCTTGTGATTTTTTACCATACCTATTAAGGTAGGAATCACGTTATAGTAGCACGCAAGTGCATGTCATTTACCTTAATGGGTAGCCTAGCCTTAGAGATTATCCTAATTTGCTCTGCACCTTTACATTCCCGAAGTCAAAAACGGTCCCCCACATCCACTCCTATAC